TGGCAGTATTATTTGCACTGGCTGATTATTTCACTTATAACAAGATATTTTTGTGGCATCTTTTTCAAAATGTTGCTGTCAAATTTGTTGTTTTTTAAAAAGATTTATTCTTATAAATCTTAAGTCTTACAAAAATGTTAAAATTGATGCAGATAAACTTCACCCGAAAAAAGACAGGATTTTAAACCGTTAATATTTAAATGAAAACAAGATTCTCAAGTACCTTCTTGAGATAGCACCAATAATACAGATAAAATCATGTCCCGAGGAGGGGTCAAAGGTTAAGAGAAGAATTCCACATTGGTCATTGAATTAACATGAACCGTTTACACAAAATAAGCGAATCCTACAGAACTTCTCAAAATGATTTTTGCAGCAACAGAAAAGGCAAATGTAGTTTGGCGTTAAACACACTTTCATCTTACAGATTCAGCTTTCAAGAGACGTCATGAAACAGGAAGTTAAGTTAGAAAAAGGCTAAAGGTTTTCCAAAAAAATGTATCAAAACCCCACTGAGTTCAATACACATACAACTCAATAGATTAAAATATTAATCAACTGTATGGATAGTAATTAAATCTAAAATTCATATTTTTAATCTGTAGATCACAAAGTATCCTGTAACATTGTTCCTTTGTCTGCCTGTCCAGATCTTCGACAGCAGAATTTCACAGATCATCAGCACAGGAACTGTAATGTGAACCAGGAGAAAGAAGAACTTGTTCAGATTAAAGAAGAATGGGATGAACTGAAACCGCTGCAGATGACAGACAGCAAGAAGCAGCAGGAACTTCTGAATGTAACCGAGAACCAGGTGGTACTACAACATCAGGGGACAAAGAACGAACAGGTGGAACTACAAGTTCTGCAGGTCAAAGAGGAGCACAAGGTGGAACAAGAGACTCCGCACAGATCGCAGAATCATGTAGAGCGAGAGAATCAGCACATAAAACCAGAACCAGAGGAACTGGAAATCCTGCAGGTGAAAGTGGAAGAGATGGAAATGTGTATTAGTCAGGATGAGGAGAAGGTTTCACTGAAGCAGGAGGCCAATTCCTTTGAGGAAAGAGACAGTGTTGCACCAGAACCAATCAGGAATGGACCCGACTCCCAGGACTCTCCAGAAGCTGAGAACCAGAATCAGGAAGGGAGCAATCCTGAAGACTCCGAATCAAGCCGGGACGAGAACCTGTATTCCTGTGAAGTTTGTGATAAATATTTCACACTCAGCAGTTACTTAAATGATCACATGAGAACTCACACAGGTGAGAAGGCGTTCGCCTGTCTGACCTGTGGAAAGACGTTCACTCAGAGATGTAACCTGACCCGTCACATGAGAGCTCACACGGGCGAGCGACCTTATCCATGCGAAGTGTGCGGCAAAGGTTTCAACGACAGTGGGGATTTAACTCGTCACATGAGAACACACACGGGTGAGAAACCGTTCTCGTGTGTGACCTGTGGGAAGGGTTTTACCAGGCAGGTCAGCCTGACCGCTCACATGAGAATACACACGGGTGAGAAGCCTTACCCATGTCTGTCCTGTGGGAAAAGTTTCACTCAAAGCAGCGCCTTAACCGTCCACATGAGAACCCACACGGGTGAAAAGCCGTATCCCTGTGGGGTGTGTGGGAAACGTTTCTCCCGGAGCTGCCACCTAAACGTCCACATGATCACTCACACAGGCGAGACATTCCCGTGTCTCACCTGTGGGAAACATTTCACCCACAACAGTGCCTTAAACGTCCACATGAGGATTCACACAGGTGAGAAGCCGTATCCGTGTGGGCTGTGCAGCAAGTCCTTCTCTCGGAGTAGCCTACTGACTGTTCACATGAGAACGCATTCGGGAGAGAAGCCCTATCCATGCGAAGTGTGTGGGAAATATTTCTCACGGCGCAGCCACCTGACCGATCACATGAGGACCCACACAGGGGAGAAGCCGTTCTCCTGTCAGACCTGTGGAAAGTGTTTCAGTGGCAGGCATAGTTTGAAGTTTCACATGGGGACTCACGCACGAGTAAATGTTTAACCTGAGAAATCATAGAGTTCATTAAGCTGCACTTCTTGGGCACTTATGTAAATAATTGATCTTGAAAGCTTTAAAAAAAAGTACAATTTTCAGTTAATTCAAAAGTTAATATAACAAAACTTATATTTATAACTTATTTTATCTTTTAAACATGTAAAAAGAAATATATGTATATTTATAGCAAATATACCCCTTATGTACACTTTACTTTTTACTAAGGTTTTTTTAAGTGTGATTATTAATGTTTGATTGTGTGTCATTTGTAGAATAGAGGTGATTGACACTGCTAACTAAAAAGTTAACTCTGCTATCCCTATAGCACTAATCAAACATTTCTGCCAACACTAAAGCACTAGACCAACACGGTATTTAGTCGAAGCTATTGCTAAAACACTAAACTCAATCATGGTGGTACCCACCATGTATTGATGACATGGCATGGAGTATGTCGCCCTATAAGAGGTGAAATCTGTCGCTTCACGCCTACCTGTACGGTGGCACTTCAGGGGGGGATTCTTTAGAACAGACATTTCCCTTCATTGTTTCAGTTTAATAGTTGTTAAGTATTGCTAACACTAATGCTGTTGCTGATTTTGCCTAACTGACCGGTCAGGAAGCACACAGCACATCAAGAAGATTTTAAACCGTGGAACAGTAATGCATTGTGGGTACAGAAAAACGTAATCACAGGTGGAGAACAGGATGAGTACCAATAAAAAGACTCAAACAATTAATAAATTAACAAAACTGCTGCATAAAGAGTCTTCTAACACTTCAAAATAAGTTCTCAAACTTTATTAAACTAAAAGTTTATAAGAAAGCCAAGTAAATTATCGCTTTGAAATTTAGATGGAAAATTTGATGTAGTGGAAGCCAAGTATGCTAAATGTTTTAAAAATGAGTAAAAACGCTAAATGACTGCGCTAAAAATTAGTTCCGCTTGTAGTGGATTAGCAGACTTTCTAAAGTCCTATGTTGGTTAAATACTCTTACTAAAGGAAATCATCAACTAAGAACTTTTTTTATCTTGGTCCCACATTCAAATTTTGTTAGAATCTTAGAATAGAAATATTCTTTGCTGTTCCACAAAGGGGATATTTCTGTGCAACATCTACAAATTCACAGGCTCACACAACAATTGAATATAAAAACATATACAAAACATAATAAGGAATGAAAAATACTTCACAGTAAGGGCAAAATTTCAACATAAATACCATGTAGTTATAAAAATTACTCCAGTCCAGACGACTTTTGTAACAGTAAATATTAAAGCCTAACAAAGAGGAAAAAGAAGAAATCTGCTGCTTTTTCACATCGCTGTAAGAGTTTGCTTCTTATTTTCCATCTGCACAACAGTTATGTTAGAGTTGTCAATGAAAGTATATGAATCGCACTTCATTAAGTTAGATGTAGTCAATGTTGGCCATTTTTTCTTATAAAGGTAACATTAAATGACACCAAAGATGGAAAAACAATCTCAAAACTGTCATTCATAGTTCTGATTTTGCAAACAGTCTTTAACAGTTTGATAAAATTAACAATAGCCCAGTTGTGAACATAACATTTTGTCAAAGCCATTTCCCAAGTGATATTAATCCAAGCGAATAATCCATCCATCTCTCCCTTCAAACGCCTCTTATTAAATCTTTAAACCCAAACCAAACTAGAGAAACACTCCATTTCTGCAGGGAAGTCATGCCAGACTGAAGTATGCCAACAGCCTGGGGAAATGCTCTGCTGCCTGGAAGCACACCCTTTGGTCGGACGAGATAAAATTAAATCTCACCGGCCATAAATGCATTGTTTATGTCTGGAGAAACAGGGGAAAGGCCCCACAGTGAAACAGCTACAATATCTGCAATGGAGGATTCCTGTCGTCAACAATAAGAGACCATTAGACCAAACATCGCTGAAGAACAACGAATCCAATCTGCCTCCATTTATGTGTACCTACTAAATTTAAGATGGTATAAAGGCTCCATACTGTTAAAAATATTTTCCCACTTTAACCCCATTTGTGACGGGAGTAAACTTTACTCTCTCTGCCACGTTTTTGTCGTGTCCTGGCCTAACAGCATTCTGGTCTTCAATTTTTGAAGCTTATTCAGGAGTTTTTAGAGTCACCGTTCATCCATTTCTTTCTTTGGTGCATCAAAAAAAAGATGTTTCTCTCACAAAGCCGCCATTGAACTGCATGTCCTGCTCCTCCCTTCTTGCCCATCGGCTCATTCTCCTGAACTAGAAAAGTCACATCTCCACAGATGGATCTGTGATGTTATGATTTTTTAAAAAATGAAAGAATTAGATACACTTTGACTTAACATGGCGCCCTCTATCCATTTGCTCTTTGGATAGTCACTGTAAAACCCCATGGGGGCTTTGTGTTGTTTTTTCCCCATGTCCTGTTTTGAGTGTTTATTTTCTGTGTAAAGTTTAATAAATGTACATT